TTCCGACGGGAGGTGCTGGCCCGGAGCCTGTCCCTGCAGAGCCCCGAGGGGATCAAGGCTTTCTACGACGACTCCCTGGGGGCTGCTCCCTGAGCTCCCACCTCATCCATTCCCTGGGGGCTGCTCCCATCCCATCCACTCCCTGGGGCTGCTCCCTGAGCCCCCACTCATCCATTCCCTGGGGCTGCTCCCTGAGCCCCCACTCATCCATTCCCTGGGGCCGCTCCCTGAGCTCATCCCATTCCCTGGGGCTGCTCCCACCTGATCCCACTCCCTGTGGGCAGCCCAAAGCCCCGTCGGGATTTGCACGTTCCCAGGAGCTCAGGGAATCCTGGAATGGCTGGGTGGGAAGGGACCCCAAAGCCCCTCGAGTGCCACCTCCCACAGCTCCCGGTGTCCCAGCAGGATCCCCTGGATGCAGCCCCTGGTGCCTGGAGCAGTTTGGGAGGGCACAGGTGGGGCTGGGCAGGCCCCACAGCGCTGGAGACCCCCCAACTTCCACGGACCCACAGGGATGGAGTGCAGAATGCTGGAACCACTGCAGGGGCTTTGAGGGCCCTTCCCACCAAACCATTCCAGGACTCTGGGATATTTGGCTTGCAGGAGATGGGGTCTGGCCTCCCTGGGAGGAATGCAAGGCTAAGAACACATCCCTGAGGGAGAATTCCTGAAGGAGGAGGTTCGGGCTGCTGAGGAACAGCTACAGGAGATGCTGGAGTCCCCAGGCCTGTGGCTGTGGCACTTGGGGACATTGGGTGGTGGCCTTGGCAGTGCTGGGCATGGTCGGACTCGATGTTCCAAGGTTTTTCCAAGCCAAATTCCTCTGTGATTCTGTGATTCCGTGCCTTGGGAGGGGCAGAGGGACACACAGCCAGCCCCAGGTGCTGTGAACCCTCTGGAAAACCAGGATGGCCACGAGTGACCAAGAGCAGGGACAACCATTCCCCACCCAATAAACCTCCCCAGCCTCCTAACCAGGACCCAGTTTGGCTCCAGGGCTTTTTTTAAACCACAATTTCCTGCTTTACAGGAGGGTTTGGGGCCTGCACGGACACACCTGGGATATGTCAGGATTTACACCATCCCGAAGGATATTGCTCACAACTCCTTACTCCAGCAGGGCAGGGGCTCTGAGACACCCAGCAGCCTCCTGCAGCTCTGCCTGGCTCCAGAGGGGAAATTCAGGAGAGTTCAGCCCCCTCTGAACCTCCCCAGCCCTGAGAATGGGCAGGGACCGATGGAAACAGCACAGCTTGCACTGGGAGCTGCCCCAGCTCAGGGCAGGAACAATCCAACAACCCCACCGTGTGCAGAGGTGCTGGGTTTGACCCTCCAGGCTGCCACATCTCTCCCAAACCCCTTTTTTAGGATAAAACTCCAGCCCTGGATGGACCCCTAGTGGTGCAATGCAGGTTTGGAGCGCCAATGCCCTGGTCCCAGCAAATCCATTCCCGAGGCAGGAAGGGGATCCAGGCACAGGAGCTGCTCTGGAGGCAGGGGCAGAGCAGCGGGGCCCACTGCAGCTGGGCACAGGCTGTGCAATCAGCTTCTCCAGGTTTTATTGGGAGGGGGCTGGCAGAGCTCTCCCGGTGCCTCGGGCAGAGCCCCAGCCCCGCTGTGTCCCTGGAGCTCAGGCTGGGTTTCCAAGCAGAATAAATAGGATGTGGGGCCAGCTCCTCCCAGCAGCCATGCCCAGGCACTCCGGGGAGCTCTGATCCCTGCGGG